GCATTCGTGCAGATAACTATATACATAATAAATAAATAAAATCTTTTTAAAAAAAAAGAAAAAAAGATGTGTGATACCTGGCTTGTTCTATGCCAGGATTCAAACCCTGGCAAATGCTTTTAACCACTGAGCCATCGCTCCAGCTCCCACCAGGAGCCTTGGACCATCGCCCCACACGTACATGCCTTATCTGCATCCTGGTCCCCTCAGACACCACTTCACCCCTCCCTTTGCCCCTTCAACACTCCATGGACAAACACCATTTGTACAGACATAGCCTGACTGGCAAAGGAAGTCATTAGAAACACTATCTTCTTCCCTCCTAGCAGCACTGAATCACAACAGGTGCCCTCCCCTGCCAACCCCCACCCCCTTTCCAATGCCTATCATTTTTACCCAGGATGGCCATGTGCGATGTGACCCCTGAGCCTAACCCTGATCAGATGGTGTTTTAGGATCAAGTACATGACATTTACCCAGTAGGCAGTTTGGGGTGTGTAGAACAATCTTACTATTAATGTACTTCAAAAGTCAAACTAGACTACCTGTGGTGTGGCAAGCAGAATCTGTTGGGGACAGAATTCCCCCTCATAGAGTTTGGCCAGAGATTAACGCATGAGCCTGGCCTCTCATACAATGAAAACGCAAAGATGAAGAGTAAACCAGGGCTCGCTGTGGGGGACCACGGGCATCCTGCTCTCTGCTAGAATGGTCCCAAAGCATCATACTTTCTGCCCCAAGTCATTCAGTTTCCACAAATGCCCTGAGAAATATAAGATGTTCTGTTTGTAAATGATGAACCTATGCTCAGAGAAGCCAAACAGCCCAGCTGACACACACAGGCACCCAAGCTGAACCAAGCACTAGCTGAACCAAGATTTTACGTGACTTCACTTGACACCCAAGTCCATGTGCATCCTATTGCATATGCAGACACAAGAAGAAAAAGCAAAGGTCATCAGTGGTGGCAATCATGGACACTAAAGTGAGTGCTTTGGATTTACTAGAGAAGGTGGGGAGAAAGCCACCTTACATTTGGCATGAGGACTTACTTTCTAATGTTCATAAACACTTGAGATCAATTACTAATTTAAAAAGAGGGCAGTAAAGCATGAAGACATATATAAAGGCCCTTGGGAAGCCAAGGCCATATAGGAAGCTGGGATGAGTGCCTTTGTCCACTTCCTTTTAGGGAATAAAAACCAGCAGCTATGTAGAAAACCAGAGTAAATACCAGCAGCAGAGACAAGCGTGCCTGCTACTAAAGCCACCTTTTTGTGGAATGCATTTACAATTTCCTACAGGGAATGCGGTGGAGGCTTCATCCCTCATGTTTGAGCAGGATGCCATAGCATCAACTGCTGGCCACTGGGGAAGCTGCCCCTTCCAGGATGTTTTTCATTTGCTTACAGACTTATCGGAAGTCACTGTAATGGAGTCAACCAGCTTATCAATAATTAACTCACACACAGTTATCAATAATTAACTCATACGCAGGGCCGATCAAACAGCCTCTGGTCCCTTTAGCTCCCATTTAAACACGCATCTGCCTTCACCACAATGTAAAGATAATGGCACAGGAGCCAGCAATTCCCTTCTTCCATAGACACAGCTCTGGACAAGGGTAAATGACACACTGGGCATAGCTGTGAAGAATCCTTGTACCATGGAATCCGAAAGTCTCAAGTCCCAAGGTGTACATCCTGTGAAGAACTCAAGATGCTTTCTAAACACTGCAGTAGGGTGCATGGGGCATCAAGAAAACGAGTGCTTGTCTGAAATCATGAAGAGTTGCAGCTGCAATGATGGAGCCCATGGCAGCAGGAAGTCACTTGGAAACTTTATTAAAAGCACACTTGCATACGTGCATGGGGCCACAGTGAGATTTCTCAGCAATTATGAATATGTATTAGGATATAAAATTTAAAAAAAAAAACAGAAAATTAGGTACAGTGCAAATGGGAAGCAGACTTCTAAGAATCCATCATATGTTTACATCCCTCAGACCATCTTTAAAGACTATAACCAGGTTCATGTGCAATGTCTAAATGGTGTGTGGGAGCTGCTGATATATGGACATTTTTCTAAAATCAACCTTTTAAGAGTTTTTCATAATCTGTGCATCCAAGGACTCCTCTTCTCCCCTGGTAGGAGGGTTGCAAACTCAAGGTAGTGTCAAATGCCTGAGGTTGCCCCGGGTGGTGGTGGCACACATCTTTAATCTCAACACTGGGGAGGCAGAGGCAGGTGGATCTCTGAGTTAGAGGCTAGCCTGGTCTACAGAACAAACTCCAGAATAGGCTCCAAAAGCTACAGAGAAAACCTGTCTGAAAAAAACAAAAAGAAAAAGAAAAAAGAATCTAGGCATTGGTGGTACACGCCTTTAATCCCAGCACTTGGGAGGCAGAGGCAGGCAAATCTCTGTGAGTTCGAGGCCAGCCTGGTCTACAGAGCGAGTGCCAGGATAGGCTCCAAAGCTACACAGAGACACCCTGTCTTGAAAAACCAGAAAGAAAGAAAGAAAGAAAGAAGGAAGGAGGGAGGGAGGGAGGGAGGGAGGGAAGGAGGGAGGGAGGGAGGGAGGGAGGGAAGGAGGGAGGGAGGAGGAAAGGGAAAGGGAAAGGGAAAGGGAAAAAGGGAAAGGGAAAAGGAAAAAGGGAAAGGGAAAGGGAAAAGGGAAAGGGAAAGGGAAAAAGGGAAAGGGAAAGGGAAAGGGAAAAAGGGAAAGGGAAGAGGGAAAAGGGAAAAGGGAAAAGGGAAAAGGGAAAAGGGAAAGGAAAGGAAAGGAAAGGGAAAAGGGAAAAGGGAAAAGGGAAAAGGGAAAAGGGAAAAGGGAAAAGGGAAAAGGGAAAAGGGAAAAGGGAAAAGGGAAAAGGGAAAGGAAAGGAAAGGAAAGGAAAGGAAAGGAAAGGAAAGGAAAGGAAAAAGAAAAAAGACCAAAAGCCTGAGGTTACCATGGACCCTCTCTTCAGGGCAGTCAAGGCTCAGCTGGCTGGAGGGAGAGAGAGGAGGTACCCTCACTGTGATCAGAGAGCTCTCACACAGCCTCTGTCAGCCCTGGGGCAATAGGAAGGCTCTGGCACCACAACCACAACACCCAGACAACTAGCCAGGCACACTGATGTTTCACATTTAACAAGAAGAGAAGCAAGAAGTCTTACATACTTTTGAACAGCTTGTCCCCAAAGATATTACCTTAGACTTGGTGACACCAGTCAAATAAGGGATCCTCTGAGAACACACTCCGGACAGACAGTCAGGTGGCAAGCAAAAACATTTCTCCAGGGAAGTAGTAGTTAAAAGACCTAGAATCCCAGGCTGGAGAGATGGCTCAGCGGTTAAGAGCACTGACTGCTCTTCCAGAGGTCCTGAGTTCAATTCCCAGCAACCACATGGAGGCTCCCAACCATCCATTATGAGATCTGGTGCCCTCTTCTGGTGTGCAGATATATGTGGAAGCAGAATCTTGTATACATAATAAATAAATAAAATCTTAAAAAAAAAAAAAGAACTAGAATCCCACAATGTCAACATGTAAGGAGACCTAACTAATTAAAAAGTTTGTTACCAGTGGACTAGAATTGTTACCTCTTACTGGAAAGCAATGCTTGGCATTGTTTTTTTTGGGGGGGGGAGGGGGGAGTGGTTTTCGAGACAGGGTTTCTCTGTGTAGCTTCAGAGCCTATCCTGGCACTCCCTCTGGAGACCAAGCTGGCCTTGAACTCACAGAGATCTGCCTGCCTCTGCCTCCCGAGTGCTGGGATTAAGGCGTGCGCCACCAAGGCCCGGCAATGCTTGGCATTGTAAGAAGGCAAAACAAACAAGAAAAATGTCACATAGGATTGTTTCCTGTGAGGTCAGAGGTAAGGTGCCTCCTATCAGCTTGCTGGTGCTCTGAGTTCAGGCAGACCAACCAGCTAGTCCTCTCCACTGCAGGCTGCTCGCTGCCAGCACCCCCAGCCTCTGCCTAAAATGCAAACTGACGGCAGGGTAGTGGTGGCACGTGCCTTTAATCCCAGCACTTGGGAGACAGAGGCAGGTGGATCTCTGTGAGTTTGAAGCCAGCCTGGTCTACAAAATGAGATCCAGAACAGCCAGAGCTACACAGAGAAACCCTGTCTCAGGGAAAAAAAAAAAGACGCAATTGACCATGAGTATGCCTCTCTGCAGAGACCTCACCCCATGGAGCTGTCACAAAAGCCTGTCCCAAATAGTTTCTCTGTAACTGCAGGGGATGATAAATGAGTCACAGACCCTATAACCATTGCCACCAGAAACAGAACCTCCCATACTCTAGCTGGAGGCCTTTGGCTAGTCACTTGACCGCTCTGAGGCCCTCATTCGCTGTGATGAGAATGACCCCTTCATTCCACAGGGTCATGGTGATGCCCCAATGGTAGCCCAGACAGTGCCCACAGCTCCGTAAACTGCTGTTAATAAGGACAGCAAGGGTGAGCCCAAAAGCAGCTCTGGGGACAGACTGTGGTGGGAGACCCATGTCTCAATAAAATAAGAAGGTACCACTGGGTCCCTAAAAGTTGAAAGCAAGCCAGTCTACCTTAATAGTCTTCCAAATTTAACAATGGACACTGCCAACATTCCCTAAATATTTGAACTTCATACATTGTATACAACAAAAAATCAAGACCCCTGGTTTTAAAAACCCAGGGCTGTACAGTGGCTCAATTATATGCTTGCCTAGCATGTGCAAGGCCCTGGGTTCCATCCTCAGCACTTCATGCACACACACACACATACATACAGAAACACACACTCCACATCCACTAATAACTACCAACCACAGGGCTAGAGGGATGACTCAGTGGTTAAGAGCACTGACTGCTCTTCCAGAGGACCCAGGTTCAATTCCCAGTACCCACACAGCAGCTCACAACTGTAACTCCAGTTCTAGGAGATTGGACACCTCATACAGACACGCATGCAGACAAAACACCAATGCATATTAAATAAATAAACAAACAAACAGAATAACTACCAACCTGTCTTTGTGTCCTGGGGATTAACCAAAACCAGTAGTTTATGTTGAGGTTCGTCACGGTACATAGGATAAAAACGAAGAGACGAAGTTTGAAGTCTGACCTAAAGAAAAAAACAAATGAATTACTACTCTGCTCTCTGGCTGCATTAAGGCACAGGAAATGACTAGGCAATTACTTAGCACAGTGCTCACTGAAAGAACACTGTTAGCTGAGCAATGGTGGCCCTTGCTTTTAATCCCAGCAATCGGGAGGCAGAGGCAGGTGGATCTCTGTTAGTCTGAGGCCAGCCTGGTCTATAGAGTGAGTTCTAGAACAGTCAGAGATATACAGGGAAACCCTGTCTCAGAAAGAAAACAAAAAACAAAAAAACAAAAACCAACATTTTTAGCAAAGGCAAAATTAGCAACATGCAGGAAATACAAAAACGGAAGCCTTAGCCACCCTACATGTGGCAAGGGTCTTGCTTCTGTCTTTCACCAGCAAGCCTCCCCATCCCAAGATCACCTGTCCACCTACCCATGGATTAGACACCTATTCTACTACAAAATGTCCCTTAGCGCTCTGTGACTTCCTTCTCTGTGACTCGTGCTCCTGCAGCCTGCAGCATCAAGGGCCTCCCTGAGCCTCAACCTGCAAGGCTGACAACCTCACTCCACCTCACACAAGCAACTCTGCCATGGTCCTCATCTGTTCCAGAGCCCTGGTAGCCACTCAGTAGGATGAGCCCAGGCTATACCTTCCTCCACAGATGCTCAGGCTGTGTCTGACCCTGGCTGTAGCTCTAAAGGCAGCCATTAAAATGTGTAGTGTGTCTGAGCCCTCCAGGATCAATCCTGTCCTATCAGCCCCACGATGAAGAAACTCAGTTCAACTTTGCCATTTTGCTAATAAGTGAGAGGAACCAGACTGTTTCTGAGGGCCACATCTGAAGCCCTCTTTGCAATATCCCAAACCCTCTGCTCCCAGCTTCTAACACAGAAAGGCCAATACATTCCATTCTCCAACACTGTTTTGAAAACTGAGAATATAGGAAAATCAGAAAAGAATGTGCAGCTGAGCTAGGCAGGCAGGTTCTTATAAAATGTTTCAGCAGGCTACCACCATTACAGAGAACTGTTTCCTGGCAAACCCTGGAGCTGGCAAACATCTTGGTAGCTCCTTGTTTGGGAATGACTTTAATGAGGGGGTCCTCAAGGGGCTCGTCCACAGGGGTGGCTGTTTTAAGGCCATTAAACCAAGTTTGCAAAACACCCCAGCAACCTGGAAAGATGCTTATTCAAGACACATTGTGTTCTGGGAGGACTCTTACCCAGGTTTTTAAAAGCAAGCCAAAATCACAACGTTAGGAAAGACAGAGCAGGAGGATTGTAAGTCTAAAGCCAGTCTGGGGCACACAAAGACCCTGGCTCCAAAAAAAAAAAAAAAAAAAAAAAAAAAAAAAAAAAAAAAAAAAGGCAGAAAATACAAATCAAAAAGAAACACATCAACTTGTTTACAGTAGTTATCTACACATGGTTGTGCTGCCTCTGCCCTTTGTTGTAGCCCTTAAATATCACAAACGGACATACTCTGTTTTACACCAGAGACATCAGTAAGTATTGTGTTTTAACTATGACAGGGTAATGTCAAGACTAGAAAAAAAAACAGCTAATTAACTGGGCAGTGGTAGCACACGCTTTTAATCCCAGCACTCTGGAGGCAGAGGCAGGCGGATCTCTGTTGAGTTGGAGACCAGCCCGGTCTACAAGAGCAAGTTCCATGACAGCCTCCAAAGCCACAGAGAACCCTGTCTCGAAAAACCAAAAAAACAAAAATAAAAACAGTTAATTATGAAAACAAGAAAATCAAGAAATGATACCTCCCCAAACCACCTCACCTTTCCTTTTAGTCTAGAATCTTTTTGAATACACAAAGGTCTGATTAACCCTGCGCAAGCTGTGAGGCGGTCTGGGCCCTTCCTGAGGAGCTTGGTTCAGTGTGCCAAATGGCGAGCCCCTGTCCCTGCTTCTAGAAAGGGAGGAAGCAAGAAGTCCTCGGTCATGTTGTCATGTCATATTGAAACAACTTCATGTGGCAATTGTTCTGCTTTCTGGTTTTGTTAGTAACCTCAGCTTTCCCCCTTCACTGAACATATGCCATGTGATTATGTTTAAGTTTTTCACAAATAAATTGGGGCAGCACCCCACACACACAAGGGTCGGCCCCCTCTTATCTCTCATGCTCCAACTTGGTATCAGCACCCATCAGAATAGGCAGTGTCGAATGGAGCCACATGTAGTTGTGCCGTAATGCCACTAGGAGGCACTAAAAGCACATGAGGACAGCAAGCTTCCACTGAGGACCACAAGCTCAACAACATGAGGACACCCAGGGGAGGGGTGTTCTTCCTTGCCTGTAAGCTCCCACCTCCAAAATCTCAGGAAAGTCAGTTTATAAGTGCACAAGCCACTCGATTTATTGACTCTGGGACAACAAGACTGCTTCCTCTGCTAACTCTGCCTGTCAGATCACAACCATTTCCAGCAGGAGTCAAATCATTCACACCTAAAACAAACACTATAGGTCCTGCCCATGATATGCATGGGGAGGAAAGAAGTCTTAAACAGTGTGTGGGGGGGGTGCATGGCGACTAAAAGCCCTTGTAAGCAGAAGGGCTGAGCCTGATCCCCATAACACACATAAAAAGACAGGTGCAATGCCCCACAGAGTTCTCGTAATCCTAGGCACTGGGGAGGCAGAGAGAGTTGGATCCCCAGTCTTGCTAGCCTGTCAGCCTAGCCTAGTTATAAGCTTCAAGCCAGTGAGAGACCTTGTCTCAAAATACAAGTCAGATTGTATTTTGTATGCAATTGTATCCTGAGGTTGTCCCCTGGCATCTATACATATGTGCACACATTGACATATGCATGCCTGGGCATGCACACACACACACACACACACACACACACCATATTTTTTTTAAAGATTTTATTTATTTATTATGTATACAACATTCTGCTTCCATTTATATCAACAATCAAGAAGAGGGCACCAGATCTCATAATGGATGGTTGTGAGCCACCATGTGGTTGCTGGGAATTGAACTCAGGACCTCTAGAAGAGCAGCTGGTGCTCTTAACCTCTGAGCCATCTCTCCAGCCCTACATACCATATTTTTAAATTTTGCCACAACCCCAACAAATAAAGTTTCCAGTTCTCTGTGTCTCCTTGCAGTACATAGTCACATTGCACAGAACCTCATCAATGCCAAAAGTTCAGAGACACAACTTCATTCCTGATCACACATCAGAACTGAACCAAACCTTAGAAAGGAGAGATGAGCCACTCCCTCACTTTAAAACAAAGAAACCAATGTTCCTGTTGGGCATTACATACAGTATCTCATTTAACCCTCATGTTAGCCCAATGAGGAAAATGATGTCAATGCTCTGAATTTGGTATGAGAACACCAAGACAGGGAGGAGAAGACACTTGCTTGAGTCCACAGATCTCCTAAGTGGCAGCCTTGGGATTCCCACAGATTATCTGGTCCTTGATCTACAATGACCAGACTCCCACTCAGGACTCCAGAATCCCAGCGAAGACTTCCTTCTACATCAAACTGGAATTACTTTAGCCTTCCCTCCAGAAGTTTCTTTGTTTCTTGGTTGGCCTTAGTTCTTATATATCTGAGATATTCTTTCTCTATCATCCCACTTTCTAGATGGGCATCAAACATACCTGCTCCCCAGTGGGAAGAGAGAAAACCTCTGACGAGGCCTGGGCTCCTTCCCTGAGGGAATCATAGTAAACCTGTGTTGCTGCCTGATGGCCCTCTGGGTCATCCTCCAGGATATCCACGGGGTAAGCCTCTGTAGGAGAAAAAGGCAGAAACAGAGTTAGTTGTACTCTGTCACTGAAAGAAAAGTTAATTATTTCAAGCTTTTTAAGAAACAGTTTAACAGTCATGGTCTAGGCTGGGGAGACCATGGCTCAGTAAAGGGCTTCCCATGCATACACAAGGACCTCAGTTCCGGCCCCAGACTCCCACATATCTGGGTGGGGTGGCCTATGCTTTTAATCCCAGGACTCAGGAGGCAAACACAATCAGATCTCTGAGTTCAAGGCCAGCCTGGTCTACAGAGCAAGTTTCAGGACAGCCAGGGCTACATAGAGAAACCCTGTCTCAAAACAAACAAACAAAAGCAAGCTTGTAATCCCAGGCCTGGGGAGGCAGAGACAGACCCCTGGTTTTCTGGTCAGGCAGCTTTCCCTAATCAATAGTTCTAGGCCCATTAGAGTCCTGGTCTTCAAGAAACTAGGTAGATAGTGAATGGCACCTGAGAGATGGCACCTGAGGTTGACTTCTGGCTTCTACACCCATGTGCACACACCAGCACACGTACACACCAATACCAACACATACCCACATACACATACAACACATAAAGGTAATAAATAAATAAATCAAAATTATGGCCACCTATTCCCTCCCAGACTATTTTTAAAAACCCCAGCCATATACTCATCAACTGAATGATTTTTCCATCCTTCACTGTGGTTTACTCAGGGGCCATGAACCCAAGCAGGTTCCCTTGACCGCAGAGAAGGGCTGGCTGGGCCTTTGACACCTTTGTCACAAGCAACTTAAGTTATTCTTTTTTCTAGATTACAGTCACTATACAAGTCCCCAGGATCCTCCCCTTTCTCTCTGCCCCTGGGCACTGGGAGCACAGTGGCTTGTGGGAATGAAAGAGCGCTTCCCTCCACTCACTTGCAGGGAAACTAATCTAAGGTATCCCGTGGCCATCCTCAGCATCTCTTCTCTCTCACACCTCTGCCAGAAACAGATCTTCCAGAATAATCATACAAATTGGCAGCATCCAGTTCTTGGAAGCAGCAATCAGTTGCCCCTTCAGCAGTGGTCAGAGATGCTACCTGACTCTGGCTGACACGTCCCTACGTCCCTACGTGGAGGAACTAAGAACTTATTCTTCAGACCACACCCCATCTCTGCCTTTGGTTTGCCTCCTCCTATGAGGGAATCAGGCTACCCTAGCAGCATCTGCCTGCCCCTTTCTTCCTCTTTTCTGACCTTCCCTACCCCAGCTCCTCTTTACCCACCTATCACCTCAGAGATTAATCTGGACATGGAGTCCAGCTCCGAGCCCCAGTGGCATCTCCAGCTCCCATTCTCTCTGGACAGCCATTGTTTCTGAGAGCCACTCTCAAGATCCAAAATGTTGTTGATAGCAAAAAAAAAAAAAAAAAAAAAAAAAAATTTTAACTTTACTCATCTTTCCCAGGAAGAATTTTGACCTCTGCCAATCAGCTCCCAGTTGGAGAACTCAAAGGTGTACAAGGTGCCAAGATAAATGGACTGGGACATGGTTGCATGCGCCCCAACCCTCAGGCTCACTTTCCAGGGTACAAGTGTCATGGAAACACAGATTGCCCATTGCTAGGTGGAAACAGACAGCCTCCCTTTAGGAGGTTCTATATCCATGAATCCAACTAACCACAGACTTAAGATGCTGGGAAGGGGGAACCGTACAGAACACGTACACGGATCTCCTTACCTCGACTCCCAATGGTATAACATATAAAGACTGCTTCCATGACATTTACTTATATTACAGATTAGCAGTCATCTAAAGACATGTACAGGCTGCACACAAATACGCCATTTTGCAAGGGATTTGAGCACAGGTAGATTTCCGATTCTAAAGGTGGTCTATGAACCATTCTCCAGTGGATACTGAAGGAAAACTGGACATCCTTCTACTATTCAATTTTTGTAAAGCATTTGAATGTAAAACACACACACACAAACACATGCACACAAAATGCTTTTAAAAGTGCATTGTCAAAAAAAAAAGGGCATTGTCAGAAACATTTAAAATAGAGACATCAAGGGTTGATGGTTTCCTGGTGGCAATGACTAAGTGACTGTAAAAGAGATGAGTCTCTATCTTCTGTTGGCAAAGAAGGCACACATTCATGTGCCCTCTACATGCAAAAACACGTGCTCAAGGAAGTCCAGGTTCCTCACCGACATGACCAGCAGCAATGCCTTTAGCAAGTACACAGGCCTGTAGACCCTATGCCAGGCAGGCCTGCCCCAGCTCTTTACCAGGATTGCCATGTATTCTGCACAGCAGCCAGAGGCACCTGAAGGACATCAAATTAACCAGAGCCTACTTCCAATCTGTCACAGAGACAAATTCAGCTTACAACTGCCCTTGTATCCATCCCTCACTTAGATCAAGGGCTCAGCTTCTCACGAGAGCCCCAGCCCTCACCCTCTCACCCATCTAAGCTCCATCCATAATTATCAGCGACAACCAACTTTCTCTGGGTTCCAGTTGCCAAGAGATCCCTGAGTGTCCACAACCTTCTCTCACTGTATCCAGCTTGCCCCCAATTTACAGGGAATAGTGCAAAGCTTCATAAAAGAAAGAAACAAAGCATGAGCCCAGGCCCATCAGATTCCAAACTCTATGTAAAGTATTCAGATTATGTTATCTTAATCAAAGCTCTCCATCATAACAATGAATCACCCAACGGGCTCCTGTAGCCCCTACTCTCAGAGTTCTGCCACTCCATCCTCAAGGCTCACTGGATACAGCCAGCACTCCTGGGGGGCCTTCCTCAAGTACTGAAAACCAAGATCAAGGATTCCATGAATCACTGAGGCCTGAGTTCAAATACCACCTCAGCCTAGGATAGGAAATGACAAGGCCTTTCTGTCCTATCGCTTCAATCCCTTCTAACTTGGACCTCAGTTTTATCTTGGAATAGTCACCTCCTAACCCACAAACAATAAGAGAAGCAGGGGCTTGTGAAACTCAACTCAGCTCCCCTCGAAGCCCTATCACAAAGGCCCATGGCCATGCCTTTCCCATAGGAAGCACTTCGGAAATGTGGGTGGTTGAGCTTTCCATTTTAACAGCTGTTTCACGGACTTGTCATATGGCTTCCCATTGGTATGCAACAAGATCTAGTGAGCATGCCAATAAATTAAGAAAAGCTAGCAGGTGGGCTACATTTGTCCTGTGGGAGCCAGCTTCAGAATCGACCACTCTCAAAATACCTACCCCCACCACAGGAACACCAGCCCAAGGGGCATGAAGGGACCAGACCTGGATTTTTATTCTGTTTCTGAGCCTATGTTTTAGGAAAGACCTTCAGATCTGACCCATCAATCCCCTTGTGAGGTACAGATTGCAGAACTGACCAAGACCGTTATCGATCGGCCCCATGGAGAAGCTGACCCTATGTTCATCAGCTTTGCTGATGGCACCCATCCAAGGCCAACACCAGGCACTTGCTTGCAGTTGTCTGATATCCTTTTTGGTTGTGTGTGGTCAGGACAAATGTCATGAATGTATTATGCCCTGTTCACATCATGAAATCATTTACCCTGAAAGTTAAGACCCCCCCTCAAAAAAACTCATGAATGGTGCTCCCAAGACTCTGGCTGTCCCCAGGAGAGAATGTGGTATTTTGGCCTCTCCAAAAGGCCACAGGAGCAGATGAGGAGGAGGTCTTCTCAAGAACCTAACACTTGCTAGAATCAGCAAGACATGGCCCAGCGTGATTATCTTGAGAGAGAGGGCAGCAGAGAACATAAATTAAGCAATGGGGAGACCAGCACTCATCAATAATTTGGCACCAACACTGGGTTCCTCATGTCATGTTCCTAAGACATGAGGCTGACTCATAGACCTCTATCCATGGGGAGGAAGAGTCCAAGAAAACCACCTGGGAACCCTAGAACCAGGGCCCATGACACCCCATTCATCCTAAATACCCCATCCCAGGAAAATACCACTATCCCAAACTCAACAGCTTCTCTCCTAGACTCAAAATGCTCATATAAGCCTCACAGAAAACTAGGGGAATGTGAAAACGAGGGTTGCTCAAGTAGAAGGGATGGACATTCAAAACCAGCAAGAGGGGAGATGACTCAGTGGTTAAGAGCAGCTGCTATTCTTCCAGAGGACCCCAGGTTCAATCCCCAGCACCCACAAGACAGTTCACAACTGTCTGTAGCTCTAGTTAGAGGGGACCCAACACCCTCATACAGACATACAGGCAGGCAAAACACCAATGTGCATGAAATAAAAATAAATAAAATTAAGACAAAGAAACAGGCAGAAAAGGGAACTCCCCCCCTTCCCAGGAGGAAACCCCAGAGCCCCCAACAGAGCCCCTTAGGTTCCTACTCCAGGCAGCCACAGGAAGTAAACAAGTCTGGGGTGGGTCAGGACAGGCCCCCTCCCCTCTGCCTTCCAGATGTGAGCCCCTAACAGGCTTTAATGGCTTGAACCTTACAGGAAATATTTTTCCAAAGCCAAAAGAATGTAATCTCCATAGCACAACACTGGATGCTTTTTATTAAGAAGGCATACAATTGAAATAACTCACTGCAGACAGCAACGAAACCGAAATTGCTGGATAAAGCCTGATGTTATGAATTCGCTTGACTACATGCTGACGGCCTTGCCCTAAAAACAAACAAATGGTGCACCCGAAGGTGTTCTTCTATGGAAAACGTGTAAACTGCTCGAGATCTCCGCTTAGGTTCCTGTCAGTGCCTCCACCACCAGTCAATCCAGAAAGGCCCAAATGTTCAGATGGCTCCTAAGAAATGCTGGGCCCTTTGAATAGAACGAGCAAAGCCAACTAATAGAGACGTGAAGAGCACAAAGATCTGCCCTTTATTGTAGACTCGGTACCATTTGCACAAGACTCTCTCCCCGCACTCCCTGACCACAAGGACCGAGAAAAGGCTTTCATGTTGGCAAAGCACCATTTTTTCTAAGATGAGACTATTATCCTGAAGAACATTAAGGGAAATATTTTAAAT